CTTAAATCTGTAATGTTGGGGATGGTGGTGGTGGTAGAGAAACACCCTGAATTAGCAGCCCCAAACTGCAAGCAACCTAGAATTAAGGAGAAATTTCCTGAGGGTTAGAACAATTAATCAATGGAACAACTTACCTCCAAAAGTTATGAATACTCCAACACTGGAGTTTTTAAAGAGATTGGACAACCATTTGTCTGAAATGGTATAGGGCAGTGATGGCAAACCTTTTTGGCACGGAGTGCTCAAACTGGAATGTGAGCACCAGTAGTGGGCTGCAAGTGGCATGCCCTGGTACGGGCGTACCGGAGCCTATCTGGAGCACCAGTACCATTCCGGTAGTGTTCCTGAGGGCCTACCTGTCCACCTGAGCTCCTTACCTGTACTTTAAACCTTTGGTGCTTCCGCGCCTGCACATGGTGCATATGGCGCCTGCGTGATGCTCTCCTGAGCAGCTGGAGCATTGCAGAGGCTTGCGGGAGTGTTGCAGGCAAGTATGACGCATGTGTGCACCATGCATGTGCGTGCATGCGCTGCACGCATCCATGTGGATAATGCCGGGGCTATTCCAACCATACCGGTTGGAACGGAATCCAGAACCCACCACCATTGAGCACCCTCGGAGCGCTGGAAACCCGAAGACCAGGTGGCCGCAGCTTGTCTTCGGGTTTCTCATGCTCTGGCATGCGCAAAGACCAAATGGCCAATATGCATATGTGTGCCAGAAACCAGTGTGTGCCAGAAGAGCAGATGGCGACGGCACATGTGCCCAGAGAGGGCTCTGCATGCCACCTCTGGCATGCATGCCATAGGTTCACCATCACGGGTATGGGGTTTCCTGCCTGAGCAGGGGATTGGACTTAAAAACCTCCAAGCCCCTCCCAACTCTGTTATTCTGTTTCATAGTCAACTTTGCAAGGTAGAGATTGAAGAAAAACAAGCGGGGACGATGGACATTATCCTGTGTTCCTCAGCTAGTTACACATGTATAGGTAGACCTCAATTTACAACCATGATTGACCCAAAAATTTATGTTGCTAAATGAGAAATTTTTAAAGTAAGTTTTGCCCCATTTTACAACTTTTCTTGCCGTGTTTGTTAAGTGAATCACTGCAGTTGTTAAATTAGGAACATGATTGTAAAGTGAATCTGGGTTCCTCATTGACTTTGCTTATCAGAAGATCGCAAAAGGGGATCACATGACACACCCCAGGACACTGCAGCCGTCATAAATGTGAGTCCGTAGCCAAGCATCTAAATTTTGATCACATATCCATGGAGATGCTGCCAACAGTCATAAGTGTGAAAAACAGTCGTAAGTCACCTTTTTCAGTGCTGTTGTAATTTTGGACGATCATTAAGCGAGCTGCTGTAAGTCGAGAACTACCTGTACTAGTTATTTTGAAAAGAATTCTATACCATAGCCAAAACCTCCTAGGAGCAAAACCATTTGCTTTCAATCTAGCTGCCATCTCAGTTGTGGCATCAAGGAGACTTATGAAACAGATTGATGACAAATGACCCTAAGTTTAAGAAAAGTCTGTCTGAAGGAGGAGCTGGTGTCTCAATGATATTTTTGCCGCTGGATGGTCATTTTGGACCTAAACCGTCTCAAAGAGACGGTGACAGGGAAGAGTACGTCCTGCTGATCTCAGGGACACCGCAAAGTCCCTGATTGATCCAGGAGAATCTCTTTTTGCCTGAAACAGAAGCACAGCCATTGAAGCTGCTGAAGTTGGGACAGCTCCGGAATGGGAGGAAAACAGAAAGAGAAAGTGTGTCCATCTGGTGAGGAAATTTTATTATTATAAAAGAGACTACCCCCAAAAAAATTAAAGCTAAATTAAATTTGAAAACAGAAGAGAACAAGCGGCAAAATTAAGCTACATTAGACAGTGTATTATCCTTTTTATAAAAATTTCTTTTATGGATGGAACTTTTGCAAATGTTTCCTATTCTTTAAATTGAACGCATTCGTTTTTCTTCTACTACTTTTTATATTCTTTTTTATATATTTATGGATTAAAATCTTTTTCCTTATTTTTATAATGCTGG